AGGTGAGGGTTGGGACGTAGATGGACCAGTAAATCAAAAGCTTTGCCTTCTGGCTCAGCTCCCTCTTCACCACCACGGTCCAGAACAGCACCCGCAGCGCTGCAGACACTTCACCAAACCGTCTATCCATTTCACGCTCCATGCTCCCCTCACTTGTGAACAACACCCAGAGACACTTGAACACCTTTGCTTGAGGAAGTAACTCTCTCCCAACCCAAAGAGAGCAATCCACTGTTTTCCAGATGAGGGGGCCTAAAATATGTTCGCTGCTGTCCCCATCCACAGAAGTATATCGCTTGACTTTGGTATCGGTACTGCTGTATGCTTCTCCAAACTGGAGGCATGTTGCCCAACATCTACTGTGGGTAGTATACGGACCACGGATAAGAACCTTACACAATCATACCTTAAAAATTCTGAACTATCCCTTTAAAGTAAATCCCACCATTACTTCCCTGTCTGCTTTCTCAGTGTAAATCTACTTCCTGTTCTTCATCCTGTTAATGCTAAAGAAACTGTGTCTTTCAGATTTCATGCACAGATGACGTTGTTCGCACCCAAACTCATTGTCATCATGTCAGAAAATTCCAAGACACCACACTGACAGATGATGGGAGCATGATGGAGAGGGTTTCTACCATGACCTACGCTGTAGTCACTCAGGTTCTACTCAGTATATAACTGTAACTATCCAACAGAACCGACCACTTCTCATTTGACCTTCAGCGTCTTTCCTCCTTAGATGGAAGTGGAAACAGAAAACTGGCAGGCGTAACTGATTAACCAGCCCACACTCGCTCTTATTTTGACACAAGTTGACTGATAACCAAGGAGTCGTCAAGGTGACACAAGGGCAGAGCAGTCATGTGGGGCTGCAATGTTTTGCAACACAACACTGAAGACGATGGCGTTGTGACCTCTCGGTATCGCTGACCTGCTGTTTTAGACTAAACAATACCTCCATGGTATTTAACAGCAACACAGCCAGCAACACAGCCAGTTCTGTCTGGCTGCGTCCTGTTTGTTGTTACTATGCCAGCACAGTGTAAGCTACACATTAATGCCTATCGCTGTGAGGCTTGGCATCTTTTTGGCTTCCTCAACTGCCAAACTACCCTTGTTCCTGTACCGGACCATCTAAGGTCATTACAGTCATTATCATTTCCACCCATTTGGAAGGAATGCCCCTTCCTCTGGTCATTTTTCTCTCTGATGCAGGTCAGATTCTGCACCAGTGCAGTCTTAAATAAACAGAAGGGTGAAATATGACACATGATATCTTGTACTTAAAGTCTGTAAGAGTCTTTCAAAGTCATTGAAGGGATCAAATTAGCCTGACCAGTATTCAAAACCTAGTCAGAGTCAGAACAGTAGATTACAGGGGCTGTATATGTGTTCGAGTGGAATTAAAAAAGGGTTAACTTGTGTTCACAGCCATGTGAGCAGCTACAGTATTCAGGCACAGTCGTACTTTGAGTTTAAAGAGTAACTTCGGTAGCTAAGGCTGATGGGAACGTGATTAGTTTGGTCATAAACCTAAGTATTGGGCAAATCAAATTAATGATAAGTGTTGGATAAAAAGTCAGAGGATCACAGAAGTCGTTAGAATTCATCCTAAGGGGAACATGAGCACCAAATTTTATGGCAAATCATCCAACAGTTGTTGAGACACTTCACTCAAGGCCAGACATGAGGAAAAGTCAAAGGGTCTCCAAAGTCATTACAATTCATCCTCTGGCCACCGTGGTTATCTCCACCAAATGTCACAGCAATTCATCCAATGTTGAAGTATTTTCTGGACTAAAGTGGTGTTGATTGCCGTCCCCAGAGACACGCTGCTAGCACGGCTAAAAGTCTTAATTCTGAAATTTTGGATTATGAAACCTGCAGGTCCTCTATTTGACTTGCAGTCACTTATAAACGTCAAAACTTTGGTAAAAGCAGCTCTTCTGCAGTTTTGTTCAAGCGTATGTTGCTGTCCTGTTTGTTGTCTGCTTAGTTTACTTCCATGAACTTCAACTATTGCTAAACATCCAACCTTTCATTACAGCGCTTTACTAACCTCCTCTGACCTCACTGACAGGCTTGTTTTATAGTACGACTTGGTGTGTAATTGAAGGCAGCGCAGCTCGGTGAATATTTACGCTTTAGGTATTCAGCCAACCAGCATGACTCATGGCTGCCAAACAATAGTATCTTTGTAGACTGCCGCTAAATCGGAGCGCACAAGATCACCCTGTAAGCAGCCCCCTTTGCTGAGAAATTTAAGTCAAATTAAGGAAGTGGGCTGAATTCATCTTGACAAGTGCAATAAGGTGGCATTACAGCAGTAATCATAAGACGTTTATTGCAGTGAAATAGCTTCCTGCTTCAATTAAGCTCCAGAGCCAAGTGCAGGCCTGCATTCTTCTGACAGCAGAGTGAACCGAGGGGAAAGTAGGGCACAATATTCACTGTAAAGGGATACGGCAATTTGTTGTTCCTGTATGATGAGATGGAGGTGTAGTGTGTTTTAGGGGTGACGTGGTTCAGGTGCAGGCAGGGGCTGATAACAGAGTGAGGAGAGAAAAACAAGGTTTGTTCCTAGAAGTGTGGTTCAGGGAATGATGGAGGGGCCAACAGAGACAGAGAGAGGCACCCAGCAGCACTGTGTGAAAAGACACAGAGGGGGAGGACGGGGCTGAAAACACGCAAACACATTAGCACGTGCTGCAGGACCACATACACGTCTGGATTACTAAACTAGTGAGGACTCCTGGCTACTTCTATCCCTGATCCTGCAACTTAAACCTGATTACAAGAAGATAATGGTCTAGTTTTGTAGTTTTGGCCGTATACTGTGTGACAACATTGTGGCGACAAAGTGCAGTTTAAGTAAGTTTAAGTCAGGGATGTCACCACGTTCCCAGATTTCAGAAGAGTAGTCCAAACTATTAAACAACTTAAGAAAATAAGATCCAAGATGGACAAAGCCTGAATTATCCTTTGATTCCTTTTGTTCCCACCTTTCTATTAACTTAAGAATATAAAATAACATCAATTTTCAATTAAATATAGTTGCTCTGATCTATGGAACTTTTTCGCGTATGCCAGATTTTTAAAAATACTTTTTACAGGTTATTTTTTTCTCTCTGGCCCGTTGAAACCTGCAGTGACATCACTTTTCTTGTGCTGCTTTCAGACGCCTTATGTAAATATTCAAACCCTCTGAGCCCTGAGCGAATTGGTGCAATTTCTTTAGGAAACATGAGGAAAAAAGCAATGAGCAACTTGGTAAGAAATGATCCACAAATAGATAGATTTCGAAAATTCTTTTTCATTAATTTATATATTAATTTATTCTTTTTTTTAAGCTAGGGAAAATTATTATTAATAATAATTATTATGTATTTAATATTATTTTGCAGAATTATTATAATTTTTAAGCTCTTTTTCCAGGTCATTTGTTTGTTTATAACTTTTTTTCTCTCTCTCTCTTTTTACTAATTTCTTGCACATTTTTGGCTCATTTTGTCTTTCGCTGCCTGTTGCCTTCTTCTCACGTTTTTGACAGCACCAAGCCAACTGGCTCAGGTTTCAAGGGGCTTGTCACAGTTAGGGAATATGGTGAGGGCGGCGTTGGCGAGGGTGAAAACAGTCCTTTCCTCCAGCTTGTAAATGCTGGGAAAGTGCATTTTTAAACTCACATAAGAGCCACTATTACATTTACTACAGATATGATTAAGTAAACTTACCATAGTATCAACACCCTACAGCCATAAATGCTATGATGTAATGAACTAGCATGTTTCAATAAATTTCATGAATGTTTTGAGACAGCAATGCAACGCTAACGTTACACAACACCATAGTTCGACAATAGTGATTTTGGGGCTGTTTCTGGTTAAACAAAAATGTTTCGATGTTACTCTTAAAGATCTGTGTCACTGGGGATCCTTTATATAATGCTGTCAAACACTTTTAGTGGACATAAATTGACAGTGAGAACATGCCCTGAATTCCCAATTGTCACTTCGACACAAAAACATGGGAAAATAGAGTCCAGGTGAAAAATACAAATTAACACTGAAGTTTAAAGTTTATTTGACGTGTAGAAAGCTTCACAGCAACTCTTCAGCGTAGTAGTAAAGGCTCTGTTTTCCCCCTTAGAGTAAAAGGCCTTTTGTTAAGTGACATTTTGTGGCCGTTGTCATAAATCCTGACTGTATTTTGACTTTGTGAATAATTGCTATTGGGTTAGGGTTAGTTGTTATTTTTTATGACATCTTTTTGATTTTAACTTGTGGAAATCAAAATACTCTTAATATAAGCCTGACTCAGTACTTAATTAAAACCTAATCATCATCATCCTCATTGCCCAAAGACAACTGTGATTCCTTTCCAAATTCCTTGAATAAAAATTTGCAACACATCTTTAAGCTGAAGGATTTAAAACTATTTCTATTCATGGGTGGACACGTGGTCCTTAGAAATACAGAAATACAACACACACACACACACACACACACAGGACGGGGCTAGATGAAAGGTTACAGTGTGCCTCGGCACCTCTCTGTTTTCCAGGAGTTGAAGGCAGACTTTGAACCTTGCAGGGCCAACAAGGGGAACATCAAGGTTAGCAAACGCGACACAGATTAAGATAGTGGGGAGAAGGAGCGAGGGGGAGCATGGGAACGGAGAGGCACAGCGTGGCGAGGGCGAGAGAGAGGAGTGAATTTTGTTTGAAGCACGTATGAAAGGCTCCACTTCAACGGGCGGCTGTTTTTGAGCTGCCAGAGACTTTTTGATTCGAACACTACTGACAAAAAAGAAACACGAGGGCATTTGAGGTGAACGTATCCACTTTTTAAACGAGGGGTAAATGTTCAGATATTGGTTGCAAAACCGAGGTCAGGGATCCTCAGGGGGGATGGAAGTGGATGTTCTCCGTTCATTTTTTATCTCAGTAACAAAGGTAAAGAAAAAGTGCCCCGTCTGCAGGAGTATAGAGGTGCTCTTACTAGAGGTGGGTCCTTTGTCTCGGCCCCCAGGGACTGGCTGATGTCCTCGGCACTGAGAGGAAGACTGTCCTCTTCTTCCTCTTCCTGGTCAGGCTCCTCCCCGAGGGTGGGGAAGACAGAGAGCCCGCCCACCTCTGCATCCACCATGCCATCCAAACTATCTGTCAGAGCGGCGAGCAGAGCCGCATTCTCCTCTTCTATCTGAAGGAGTCAAGCACAGAGAACATGGGTGAGAATACAGTGAGACCGAACAGTTTAAAGGAACAGTCTGTCATTCTATTTGTATGATATCAAACAGCGATCGTCAACGCTGTCTAGTTTCGGCCAGAAGAAAACCTCACAACGGAAAACTGGCCCCCAAAATCAGTTGTTTTTCTATCAGTTTATTTTGGGGGAATACCCTTTAATTCAGAAAGAAACCACACTTGTATAGTTGACACAAATAAGCTGTTATGATGGATAACAAAAAAATGTAAAAAATGCACACTTCCCATTTCCTAAACCTCGTGTAACCCCGCCCTGCGTTCCACAGACATTAAACAACAGCCATGTTTGAGTCATTTGGTCTTGAGTCATTACAGCAGTTGGAAAATAACTATGCTCTGACAGATTTTTATATATATACTGCATTTATATATGGAAATTATTGCCCTCGGCAGATTGAAAAAGTCTTTTGGCAGCACTGTGTCACTGCTGAATCACTGCATGAATCCCCCTCTACTCCATCTTCCTCTAATCAACCACTGTCTAAAGTCCAGTTTTCTGTCGTCTTTATTAACATGCTCAGGATGATGTAACTCCGACCTTTGACCTCATTAGGAAGACCACTACGAAGATTTGCTGAAACAGGGTTTTGTTTTGTGTAGTTGGCGCTGTCCTCCTCTCATATAATGTCACCCAGTCTCTCCACTATCTTGGTTTCTCGTGATGGAGTAGACACTTTTTTCCAAAATTTCCAAGCATGAAAATTGTCAAATTTTGAAGATAGCAGGCAAAAATATTGTTTATCTGTAATTTCAGTCCAGAATTTCCACCCCGTCATCCCCCCTGTTACATCCACACAGGGGTTGTTTACTGTGATGGAGCTGCCATCTTGCTGAGAGCAGAGTCTGGTGGAGAGGTGATAGCATGGCTGGCCTACGGGAAGCCACCGAGCTCCACTCATCTGTCTCTCTCTTTTATCATCCGGCTCTATCTGTTCCCAGCTGCCAAAGTATTTATTATTTAATTTATTCTCTGTCTCTTGGGCTCGCAGCGTCGCTTTCTCTTCGCAATTTAGACTTTGAAATTCTCTACAGGATGTCAAAAACAGTCTTAGGTAAGCAGAGAACAAAAGTTAAACTCTGTGGGAGTATATATGATGCTTCTCCTGATAATTACATTTGCCTTTGGGTTACATATGTTTCTTTTTTGCCTGGTTTACTCACGTCCCTGTGTAGTGTTTGAATCTAACTTCTGAAACATGGTTTTAAAATAATTTCATTGGCAGTTTTTTCTCATTAAAATATCTGTCTGTCTGTCTGTCTGGGTATATCATAATCAGAGAGGCTTCATAAGCATTACCAGTATGTTTATACATTCAAAGCACTCACGGATATTACCTGATTATAATAATTAGATTTGATGGATATTAATTTAATTTCCTGGATTGTAATCAGATTCCATCGTGAGTGAGGAAGAAACAGAGACAAAGAAGGCAACGTCAATGACAAACAGAAGAGAGCACAACATATACATATACACTCACCAGCCACTTTATTAGGTACACCTGTTCAACTGCTTTTTAACGCAAATATCTAATCAGCCAATCATGTGGCAGCAGCTCAATGTATTTTGTCTTGTAGACATGTTGAAGACGAGCTGCTGAAGTTCAAACGGAGCATCAGAATGATGAAGAAAGGTGATTGAAGTGACTTTGAATATGGCATGGTTGTTGGTGCCAGACGGGCTGGTCTGAGTATTTACTGGGATTTTCAGCACAACCATCTCTAGGGTTTACAGAGGATGGTCCCAAAAAGAGCAAATATCCAGTGAGCCAAAATGCCTTGTTGATGCCAGAGGTCAGAGGAGAATGGCCAGACTGGTTCAAGATGATAGAAAGGCAACAGGAAGTCAAATAAGCACTGGTTCCAACCAAGGTGTGCAGAAGAGCATCTCTGAAGCAACAACACCTTGTCCAACCTTGAAGCAGATGGGCTACAGCAGCAGAAGACCACACCAGGTGCCACTCCTGTCAGCTAACAACAGGAAACTGAGGCTACAATTCACACGGGTTTTCTCACCAAAACTGGACAATAGAAGATTGGAAAAACCACATTCAGATGGAAGCATGGATCCATCCTGCCTTGTATCAACGCTTCAGGCTGCTGCTGGTGGTGTAATGGTGTGGGGGAGATTTTCTTAGTACCAACTGAGCATGGTTTAAACACCACAGCCTACCTGAGTATTGTTGCTGAGCGTGTCCATCCCTTTATGACCACAGTGTACCCATCTTCTGATGGCTACTTCCAGCAGGATAACGCACCATGTCACAAAGCTCACATCATCTCAAACATGACAATGAGTTCACTGTACTCCAATGGCCTCCACAGTCACCAGATCTCAGTCCAATAGAGCACCTTTGGGATGTGCTGGAACGGGAGATTCTCATCATGGATGTGCAGCTGACAAATCTGCAGCAACTGTGTGATGTCATCATGTCAATATGGACCAACATCTCTGAGGAATGTTTCCAGCACCTTGTTGAATCTGTGACACCAAGAATTAAAAAGAGGGACCAACCTGGTACTAGCAAGGTGTACCTAATAAAGTGGCCAGTGAGTGTATATTTGACAGTGCAGATGCCTTTACATCATTATTATTGTTATAAAATTAATACATCACCTTTGTAACTCTATCAGTTTCCCTCCCTGCACTCTCCAAGGTTAAATGAAGCCCCGCCACACACAAACATCGATCAATCCCGCCCGACATGGGATTAGATTCCGATACGCTCCTGTAAATAAGTGGCGTGTCGGCGGACAGCAGAGAGACAGAGGCACGGGGGGCTTCATCTGTCGGCTCATCACTCTATTCATTACTGCGTGTTTATAACGAAAAGGCCGCCTGACAGTCTGCTCTGCTGTATTAGTCTGATCAATATGATATTGGCTAAAATATAATGTGCCGTGGTTGGAGGTTGGAGGCTGGTGGAGGTATGGGAAGATAAAAAAGACAACGGTGACGCAAGGGTGAGTTACGTGGTTATGACAGTGAGCAGAAGGCATTGAAAGTTCAAGGAACAAAAGCGTGAGAGAAACAATCAGAACTGAGAGAGAGAGAGAGAAAAGCAGCAGCGCAACAACAGACAGAATTAATTAAAACTGAAAATGTATGAGACAAAGAAAGACAAAGGAAGTCAGATAAAGGCTAAAAGATTAAAACAAGGTGAGACTTAGTCAGACAGAAACTCAGTAATGCCTCCAATAGACTTGAATACTTTGAAAGGACTTTGAAAAGAAGTCTGACACCCCCTCATGTCTAGACAATCTGAGTATTTAGTCACAGACTATAAGATTTTGCAACGACTGGGGATCTTGCAGCATCACTATTTGCAAGACTAACGTGATTCCTTTTGAGATTATTTCCCGTCCTGCCTCTGGTAGAAAATATTACACCAAACTCCCTTTAAGAAACATGACAATTCTTTATGTGTATGTAAAAACACATAGCCTAAAACTTCATCAAAAGCCTAGTCCCAATTAAACAAGCAGTCCCTTTTACTAGCCTGGTCTGGCTACACATTTTGACAAATAAACGCTTGTCCCAGTTCGAGGCGTCGTCTGGTTACCAAACAGTTGTTGGCTACCTTAAAATATGTGTCCATCCCTCAATTACCAAGTCAGTTATTTATATAATTTTAGTCTGTAAGAGTCCTCAGATCAAAAGAATCAAAAGGGATTCTGATAAAAATTAATCCAAGTTGCGAGTATTGTTTTAACAGGATAAAGTGGTGTTGTGTCAGTATGCCGGATGCTGTCATCGTCAAGTGCCGTAACTCTCTGTCTCTTTGATGCGCTGCCTTGAGAAGCTAGATTAAATGAATGATTCATAATTGATATATTACCTGAAGCCTCATTTTTAAACAAGTAATATTCATACTACACTAAAAAATTTGATTGTATTTCCTGATCTTTGCTGAGCAATAGTTTTGTGTGAAAGGAATTAAAGACCTGTCCCAAATATAGGCCTCTTGATTTTAGTGATTTAATCAAATAATAGCCCGGGCTATTAACTTAAGTTTTATGGTAACTCTAGAAAGTATTCTTGTCAATTCAGCATCAATATAACCCATAAACATAAACTGTATGTGCATAGAAACTTTACATTTTTGATTTTGTCGCCTCAACTCAATCTGGGCTATGTTAGTGGGAGCAGACTGTACAGATGTGCTGGTTGGTGGATCAGACACATGCAAAATTAAACACAGAGTTTTGCTTAATACACAACTCCCCTATTTTTTCCTCCTTTTCCACAGTACAGGAGACTTGTTCCCTCATGGAATCTCCTCCATGTTTATTGTCCACCCAGTTCACTGCATCCTGTTTGGTGCTGGAGAGAGCGCACCTATTGGTTGGTGACAGTGTTCATGTCATTGTACTTCAGTATTTCAGGCATGAGCCAAGACTAACACTTAATATAATATATAATAATACAAAATGCAATATTATTAAACTTTTTGCTTTTTTGGGGAACGTCAAGTAGGAGTGTGTCATATCATCTCGTTCACAATAATACTGGTATAATTTTAATATGATATGAAAAATTCATATTGTGATACTCAAGATATTTCGACTTGCTGACATACTGACGTCAAAAAGGAGGAGCAGCTTCAGGAGTGTGGAATAAACTGTGGCGTCCTGAGTGTTTTGTGAACTCTCTGCAACAGTTATTCAGTTGACAAGTCGTTTGGTGCATGGCCCGCATAGAAAGGAGAGGGAAAATGGAGGCAAAAGGAGAGATCGACAAGGAGAAATAAAAGTGTAAGTCTTAACTAAAGTGGAAAGAAAGAACTGAACAGGGTTGAATAACAGAGATGCAGAGAGATAAATCTGCCTGTTTCCATGATGAATCTTCTCTTTTGTCTCTTTCCTCTCTTTATCAGGTCAGGTCTGCAGCATTAAAGAAGTTTCTTGTTGTTGCATCTTTCTTTTTAAAGAGTGTATTGTCAATACAGATAACTATTAATGTGGTACTTTGAGTCTGTTCTCAGATGCCAACTGTGTCATAAAGTTTTGCGTCGAAGCAGGAAGACAAAGAGTCACTCGGGCGTCAGCTAATGGGGATCGAAATAAAAATAAAGAGAGTACAGAGAGAGACAGAGACTGTCTGTGTTTACTTCACCTGCATTCCCATCATGTTGTGCCGGTCTTCATTTAACCAATACTCTGCGGTGCATTGCAGCACCAGAGCAATTTCCAGCAGAGTTGCGTTACATAGCCGATGATCTGGATCTAAATGCTACTTTATCTCTCTGTTGTCGTCTTTTTATTCTCAAGATGTGCTCAATTTAGCCTCTGTAATGGGACCTCGAGACATTGCCAGGGCTGGAAACCTATACACAATCAATGATCCAGGGTTTGCTTCCAGATAGAGAGGAACCAGAAGGGTATTCCCTGAATTCATCCAGCAAGGGCACCTGACACTGGAGCCTCGGGGCTTTCGCTGGCCCTGTAGAAGCAGTGGGCCGATCCAGACTGATGGACTGTTTCCATGATCATATTACACACAGCGTAACTGGGAATACCTTGGCAGCACCCCCTGAGACATGCTGCAAATTTCAGCACAGGGATCAAGTGAAGGGTTGGAGCTTTGCACGTGTCAAAAGTAAAAGAAACTTTGGTTGTTGTACCAACTGACCCCGAGTCCCAGGGTGTTGTATGAGTAAAATGACCACACTGAAATAACATGGTATTTATTTACTCTTTAAAATAACTCTGACCAAAAAATAAATACTCACATACTAATATTTTAGGGCTGTCAGGGTCATGAAAATTGAATATGCCAACATGTGCTGAATTTTGGGAATTAGCCTTCATTTTGTACTTGTCCACCAAATTTTAGTCAATCCACTGATTAATCTTATTAAAGGAATACTTCACCTCCACAAATGATCATCTGTTTATCAGTTACTCACCTTGTGTTATGAAGGATTCCTTGTGAGGTATTCCTTTAATAAGACTTGTCAGTGGATTGACTGAAATTTGGTGGACAGGTACAGAGTTAAGGCAACATCCGTTGTATAACTCAACTGTATTTCGGGGAAGACGCCTCACCTCAAAGAGCTCATCTGCCGTACTGTAGTGGATGGAGGCCGGTGATGCGTCCGCTGGCTGATCATTGCACCACTGTAGCTCGCTGAGGCAGTTGACGCTGTCAAAGTCGCTGGTGTCCAGCTGGGAGAGGTCGATGTCCGGGAAGTCAGTGTCCAAACGGTCCGAACACACCTCCTCCTCCCCATACTGAAGATGGAAAAAGAGAGCGAGAGAGAGGGAAAGGTCACGTTAGTCAAACATCGAGATTAAAGCTCAATTCCCAGGCGGTTTGTCTTTTTTGAGATGCAACAAAAGTGCATGAGTCACTGTGTAAAACATAACCCCCTGAAAAACTGGAGGTGCTGATCACAGCTGGAGAGATCCTCAGTGAGAAATGAACATGCGTCACTTGTATCTGCTGCTTTGCTCTCTTATGTGATCACAAAGGAATTGATGTTTTCTCTGTAACCACTTCTCTCTGAAACACAAGCCACCAAACATGGGAAATAACGCTGTTCCCTCTGTTAGACTGCCAAGGTTGGTGTTTCCTGTGAAGTTCATCGCTCATTGCAGCGCTGCCATTGTTAGAATTAGGGGTTTAGTTCCCACTGGGCCACCCTTTCTAAAATATGTATGCAGCTGAAGTACTGCGAGGCACTTTGGATAAAAGCCTCCATCATCTGGCATATACTGTATATTATTACACTGTTCACTGTCGGAGTCACAAGGAGCTCTCATCAACAGCTCCTCATCTCTCAACAGCTACTCATTATAGATAATGAGACTTCCATGTTAGAGGAGGTTTGACACTGAAACCAATGGAGGCATCTGCCCCGGCACAATGCAGGATTAGACAGAAAATGTGTCACGAACACCAGCAGCACCTATCTGGAAGCGTCTTCTTGCATTTATCCTGCACATCTCCCTGTGGCTCACAACAGAGTGCAACCGTGACCCAAGAGGTCTTCAGGTGATTAGTTCCCCTTCATCAGCTGAGGGCGTGTTAATCAGTGAAATGAGCCGCTCTGTTTAGGCCGTTTAAAACTGTGGACTCTTTGGTCACGGTTGCTCTCGTTTGTTTTCTGTGGTTCATACAGTCAGAAAAATCTCAGGGATCATTTCCACAGTGTACAGTTTATTAAAAAGTAAGGGATATGCTCTGTGCATTTAACATGGAGGAATTATTTCAGCGGCATTACTGCATTACTTGACTACTGTAACAAAAGTTTCCATTCAGTTACAGATTATATTTGAAATTAGAGAGGACATTAAACATACTTTTAACTGATTGACACATATAAACCACATTAAAGGACTTGTGAAACCCAGAGGAACCCCTTGAACCCCCTCAACATCCCTCGAGTAGATGATCAGTGCCCGTAATAATCCATAAAACATCCTCGTGATTCCCTAGAACCCCTTTAGAGACTTTCAAAACCCAAGACCCTAAAACCCTCACAAGGACTCTTTCAACCCCAAAAAGAATCTCTGGACTGACTTTAAAGATCCCTGAAACCCCTTAACCCCTCTTCTTGTGAAAACCTCTTCAAGAACTACTCAAGAACCTAAAGTTACATCAATGATCCCTAAATGTTTCCTCCTTAAGACATCTGGAGCCCTGTCAAGGAACCAAATAACCCTCCCACAAAAACCCCTTAAACGCTAAGCTCCTTAAAGAGCCCTATAACCCTTTAAAAAACCCTTTAAACCATTTCAGAAATGCCAGGAACACCCTTTAGAACTCATTAGACACTCTACAAAAACCCTTAACTCCAGTAAGAGTCCCACTTCAACATGTACTGAAAAAATGTTCCACTCATAAGATACAAGAAGTCTTAAAGCATCCCTGGACTGCCTTCAGAGAAACCTGAATGCCTCAAAACTCTCCAAGAACTTCTCAAGAACCTAAAACTCCATCAATGACCCCAAAATTCCTGGACAAACTCTTTACCCTGACAACTTCTGGAGGTCTATCAAGGAACCAAATAACCTCCCCAAAACCCATTAAACCCCTCAAACAGGTCGGGTTAGGGTTAGACTCCTCTAGACCCCTCAAGGAGCCCTATATCTCTTTAAACAACCCTTCAAACCCCTTCAGGAACCCCTCTAATCCTAATAAGAATTGCTGAAATCCCCTCAAGGATTCTCAAATTGTTCCCAACAACAAATGGAAGCCTTTCGCACACCCCTGAAACACTCTCAAGAACTCTTCTCTGAAGAAACCCTCAAACCCCAGTATGAGTTCCACTTTGTGATGGAATGAAAAAAATCAATGACCCCAAAATTCCTGGACAAACTCTTAACCCAAAGGACTTGTGGAGCTCTGTCAAGGAACTAAATAACCTCCCCTTAAAATCTCTTAAATCCCCTTGCAACAGGGTGTAAGGGGACATGGACAGACTCCTCTATGCCCCTGATGGAGCCCTATAACCCCTTAAACCCCCTTCAAGAACCCCTCTAACCCTAATAAGAATGACTGAAATCCTCAAAATGCTTTGAAAACACGTGGTGACAAATGCCTAAAAACACCTTCAAGAACACTCTAAAGAAACTCCTGAAAATCAGAGTCCCGATGTGTGATGTATTGAAATAATGTTCCAGCCAGAAGTTAGCAGCCACGTGGTCCACAGTCACAACACATGGCGGAGACACAGACAGAAACACTGAGCCACGTCACTGAGAGGATTGAAAAAGAAGAAGAAAAGCAGGAAGTGTGTGTGTATGTGTGTACGTGACTCAGTGTGAAGGGAAGTGACTGTGGTCTCTTGGGGGAAGTGAATGAGAGAAGAAGACGGAGGAAACATTTGGGGAAGGAAGAAAGAATGGTATGAGGAGGAGAGGCAGGGGACAAGGAGGGAGCATGTGGGGAATGAAGGCAGTCAAACTGGATCTTTTACAAGCATTGTGTACTTGTTAAATATGTGTGTACGTGTGAGACGTTTCCACAGAAGTGCAAGAGATCAATGTCCTATTGTATGATGAGGAAACATCGTTCGTTACCGGTCTTTCTGTCTCTCATTCACTTATACGCCCACACACACAAACACAGACACACACTTTTCCATTCTTCTCAGTGGGCCAGCAGACAGGGTCGACCAGTTTCACCAACCACCTTTCAAACTGAATCCAACAGGTAGTTTTCATTCAAGATAAGGTTTCTTCCTCATCTCCAACTGACTAAATAAACTACACATTGTCTCTGATATTTTGTCTTTGAACCATAGGAGGAAATATTTTGTCACCGGGGCATTGAATAACTTTTAAGTTTATCCATGTAAATCATTTTAAAAGGCAATCCATGAACTTATTTGTATTGAAGAGGCTTTCGCACACCAGGATAATCAGCTTCTGTCATCAGGTGCATTGGCACAACTGAAAGTGCTTAACGTGGAAAGAAGGATTGCCCTGCACACTGACTTGCACAGTCAGTGCAAAACAATGGTTAACCATTGCTGTGTTAGTGCAAGTCAGTGTGCGGGCAATCCTTCTTTCCAATCCATGAACTTATCCCAGCCAGTATTTGTATGTGAGCTCCATGTGGGTAGTAAATGGGCTGAAAATGGTTCCTATATAGGACTGTCCACAAGTTTAATATTAGGTCCATGACATTTGCCCAGATGGGTGGGTTTACCCAAGTGGGAACCAGATAAGTGGCCCATTTTGGACCCATACACACTTTGTACCGAGGTAGCCACAGCATGACCCATGTGGGGCCTACTTGGGCAAAATCACCAATCCATCACCCATCCATTTTCATCCCCTTATCCGAGGCCGGGTCGCGGGGTCAGCAAGCAAGCAAAGAACCCAAGACATCCTTCTCCCCAGGAACGCTTTCTAGCTCCTCCTGGGGGACCCCAAGGCAGTCCCAGGCCAGATGAGATATGTAAACCCTCCAGCGTGTTCTGGGTCTGCCCCGGGGCCTCATCCCAGTCGGATGTGCAAGAAAACCTCCAACTAGAGGCGTCCAAACCCACCCATGTGGGCAATTGGCATGGGGCCAATATGGAGCATTTAGACAATCCAGTATAGGGCCCCTTTTTCAGCCTATTTACTACCCACATGGGCCCCACATACAAATGTTTGCTGGGATATTTATAGTGCAGTCAATGATGTCTGTAAAATGCTAAAATCATTCTTAATGATTGGGCTTGAGCCTAGCTAGCTAACAACACCGTCTTTCCTGTGACTGTCAAATGCTTACTTAACACAGTCTATTTAAAAAAAAGGATTACTCTCCAACTGTCAGCACTGGTGAACCTCCATATATTTATTCTTTTGTTCGGTCTGTTTTACATCAAGTCGGATCATGACTGTCAAACCGACAGATCTACTGCAACAGCAGAAGGTCCTAGACATGTATAAAAATAGCATGGTCTACAGTTACAACATGCACATTTTTGCCCAACCCTTCAGCTCATGTTAAAAAAAAAAAAGTTAAGAAAAATATTCACGTTGATGTTCTGTTTCTGCTACTGTCTCTGCCTCTCACCAGAAACCATTTCTCAAAAGCAATCTACAGAATTTACATTTCCTAAAAACTAATCAGCAGTTTACACAGAAATGATGAATTTACGATATAATAATTCATTATCTCTGCTTCTAAACAGCAGTGCACTTCTCTTTTCTTCTCTTCCTGCAGCTCTCACTGTGGGCGCTTTCAGACTGGAGGAACTTTTTTGTAGTTTTAAAAACCCTCGTTTTTGTCATGTCCACATCGCAAGAACTAGGAACGATTATATTTCTTAGAAGGCTTAAGTCCCAGCTCAAGTCAAAGCAAAATAGGAGTAGGCCGGCCGATGTCACTTCAGCTTTCCAATTGGCAGTCATTTATTTTCCCTACCTGCTTATCCTGTTGGGGGTTGTGGGGCTGGAGCCTATGCCGTCTGACACTGGGTGAGAGGCAGGGTTCACCCTGGACAGGTCACCAGACTATCACAGGGCTGACACATTGAGACAGACAACCATTCACACTCACATTCACACCTACGGACAATTTAGAGTCACCAATTAACCTGCATGTCTTTGGACTGTGGGAGGAAGCTGGAGCACCTGGAGGAAACCCACGCTGACACGGGGAGAACATGCACACTCTGCACAGAGGGGCTCCCCCACCCCGGATTCAAACCAGGAACCCTCTTGCAGTGAGGCGACAATGTGCTTTTGCCACCATTTGTTTCATTTGATTTCTAATTACTGCTCACTATTTT